GGCCTGCAAGGCAGAGGCGTCGAAGAGAAGGGGTTTCAAGAATTTAAAAGACTTTTTTGTAACTCAAAACTTAGAAGAATACAGAAAATTTCTTCAAAAATCATCAAAAAGATTTTAAATTCTTTTATACACTGCCAACTATTTTTTCAATACACCCCCTTTAAAAATTCTTAACTTACGCCCCGAAACAATTTTTGTAGGGTTTTTTCAGACTTTATTCTTGTTTTTGTTGTTTTGCGTTTGCCTCTGTTTTTGGTGCGCCGCTTCAAGTGCCTGAAATTTATAGTGGTAATAAAATTTTATTTGCTCTTTTAGTTGATGGCACAATAAACTCTTCTGGCATTTTTCGGCCCCCTTAAACAGCACGTGCTTTGGGGTCTTCTTCTCCAGGTGATTATATTGAAATTCTGGGCGAGAGACGGATTGAGTATATTTGATTTCAAGGTCGTTTGTAAACGCAATTGTTTATCTATGTAGGTGGAAAATGTTTGCTATTGAAATGAAAAAGCACCACTTTAAACGGGAATATTATATTTTTTGTAGATTTCAAATATTGTATTGGGAAATGTATTGCAGATTTTCTTAAAAATGCTATCTTAATCTTTAAAATAAGATATGTACAAAAATATCTGCGGAGTCTAGAAATAATAGTTCTTCTAAATATAAATGGGGTTGATAGTATCTTTGATTTATTCAAACCGAGATCTCCTAATTAAATTTCCTCATTCCTCAGAGTTTCTTGTGTGATTCCCCTAATTGGAGCGAATATTCTCGTACACCTTCTCAGCTTTTTTAAGGCCAATGCTATGCGTTCCACCTTCCGCCCAATCCCACCACCTCCCCTGCTCCTCCTCCTTCACGCCCTGCGAAAACTTAGTCAAGCCAATTATTATTTAAATAAAATGCAAAGCAGCAATTTAAGCCGCCGGCAGAGGTCGGCCAGCGTCGGAGCAGCCGAGCAGAACGCTTCTCCCCACTTGGTTTAATTGAGAGACATCCACCCAGCAACTCCCCCTGCTCTTTCCACCTGAAGATGAGACGCACTAACTGGCTATAAGTTTACCGTTGCCGCTTCCTCTCGGAGGCCCTTCTTCAAATGATGCCGACAACAATGGCAGCTCAGGCAGCGGTGGCAACAAGAACGGCCAGAACGAGAACATGAACTGACAGTTGACGGGCGACGCCTTCGTCTAACGGCTGAAATTGAACAAAAAGTTGGAAACAACAAATTCAAACAGGAAGATGTCAGAGTTGCCATTTTAGCTCACTTCGAATATGGTTGATTTTAAAGATATTTAAATACAAATATCTATGCAGAAAAAATTTGTTAATTATAATAAACGAAAAGAGGGAAAAACTTTTGTCTTATTCCAAAAAAATATTGTTTAAAAATATTTCATATATTCTTTTAAAATATTAATTATTTCGGGTCAACCCTTTACGATATGTAAACTATTGATATATATCTGAGTTTTTTAATATTTTCATATTCTTTAAAAATGAATATGAATACTGCAGTAACTTCTTTAATAAAAAATGTAGCTGTTTTGGCTGCGAGAAAATATGATATAAATATATTGTTAATTTGTGTAAATCTCTAGTTTTCATCCCCATAAGTAGAGCTGTGCGTCGGCAGAGCAGTCGCAGTTTCGCTGGCAGTCGTAAATCAAAATGGCTGAAGCTGAAGTTGATGGCCGAAGAAAGAAGTCATTCATTTCATTTCACTTCATTATAGTTCAGTTGCGGACACGTTGGTTAGACAGGGACGGCGCATGCGTGGGAGTGGGTGAGCGGGATGGGAACGTGTTGATGTGCTCATTAACCGAATTCTGGGTAAAATCTCCATCTCCGAGTGAGTGATGGATAACCACATCCAATGGCCCTCCGTGTTCCCGACGGATCTGCTTTTGGCCCGATTTGCGTTGTGCAATCAGCTGTCGTGGTGTGTGGCTTAAAACTGGTAACGGGACTGCCCATATGGCATGCGCACTCTGTGTGTGTGTGCGTGTGCGTGCGAGTGTGTGTGTCGAGTGCGATTGTGTGCGTGGCTAAGTGGGCTGGGCTTAAAACTATGGTTGTAGTCTTGGCTCAACATGAATGCACGAGCAATGCCATTGCACAGTGGGACAGAGGCGCATAAAGAATTAGATGATTTTCAACTATATAATGATAAGCAACTTTTTGCCATTCGCTATATTCAAACTATACCTGAGATCTCTAAACAAGCTTCCTTTTTGGCCGTGTTGAAGAAATTGCGATGGTGTCTATTGATTTTCAAAATATTAAAAATTTCCCTATAATAAATAGGGAAGCAAATATGATATTAAATTAGTTCGTATTGACAAAATGATAAATAAGACTATGTATATAGAGATCGATTTTAGATCCGCGTTATATATGTTACCAATGAGAACTTGATGGCATAGAGGTAGTAGCTATTTATTATTCCCGTTTCTAATCCCTCAGTACCTACAAAATAATGTTAATAATAGACGTTTTACTATATGTTAATATTCTTAATATTCGAATTAATCAATTTTTTGGCATACATTGTTTTCGTATTCTCACAATTAGATTCAAATTTAACTTTAAATTAAATTCTAATCAGAAAGCATTTTCAGCGTATGTTTATGCCTATTTTCCCATCTTTGTGGTAAGCCAAAGCTTTGAAATGCGAGTCAAGAAAGAAGGTGAAGCAGTTTTAGCGCAATCGTTACCTAGGAAAATATGGAATAAAAAATACAGTAGTAATATAATATTTAACTAAGACACTTTTTAAATTGCTAGAAAATATTTGGTTTTAACACTATTTTAGGATATAACAATCTTCTAAAACCTTTGATCAGGCAACACATTTTTAGAAAAATAGAATAACAGTAAAGAAATAAGTTTACAAATTTGCATATCTTTAATTAGTCATTACACAACACATATTAAAACTCAAACTACCATGAGATTCACACTTTATAGCTATCCACATTGATGGCTTACGGCCACCACTGTTCCAAACGTCAACTTCATTTTGAAACCTGGCAGTTCATTGATATTCTGCTAGAGGGCGCCTCCTTTCCTCTTATTTTCGTGGCATACTTTCAGGAGTGGTGCTGTCAAAAGTGACGATACTTTGACATGTTAGGAGGGTAGTTTCTGAAATTAACGTTAGATGGCGCTGGATTTGTTTCATTTGATTGTTAAGTATAGAAAAATCAAGTTTTTAAAAACATGGTTCTCCTTATATTAAAGAAAATTTGTAGAATTAATTCATTAAATGAACTTACTAATTTTTCAAGACGTTTGCAATTAAAGTGTGGCAGAATCTGTTATGGCAAATCAAATTTTAGCAATTTCTTCGCTTGAATAAATCACATCAGACGAACATAAATCATACAGTGAGCAGGCATTTCACCCACGCCCCCTCCCCCGCAACCGCAGCAGCGGCAAAAACAGGAAGAACAGACAAAACACACATCAGACATTATTATCATCTCGCTTGTGCTTGAGTGGGTTTCTTTGCCTACCCCAAGGCTCCTGTTTTCCACCCACCCAACCCCTACACCCACACCCACAGCCACATCCACATGTCTGATATAGGCAGAGATCGGGGAACAGTCCAGCGATTTGCCAGCATCCGTTTGGCCCTCGGCATACAAAAACACACAGAAACACAGAAGCGGAGAAACAGAGCACTCAGCACACAAACACGGACGAACACTCGCTTCCTTCCGCCGCTGCCATTGTCCTTTCGCGCCATTTTGCCCATCCCGATGCTCCCGCTCAATCGCCATCATTGGGAAATGTGTAATTGAAAGGGAAGCTTTTGGCTTTGGCAGCGTCGGAGGCAAGAAAATTATTTCGTTAACAAAAGGGAAATGCCAGGCAGAAATCCGGGTGGGGGGTGGTGGGCTTGAAGGCAGGAAAAGCGGAGAATGCAGGACGAACACAATGCAAAGAGAGCGAGGGACAAGACTGAAATATTTTAAAGTTTACCATGCCCTTTATTTTATTATGCCCTTTTTTTGTTTGGGTTTCATGCTTTGTGCAAGTCGGGAAGTTTCATTTCCGACAGCAAGTTACCGTTAGTTAGTTTGGGATTTTCGGCAGGGTTGTCACCATCACCACAGGCTCGGAAAGAGCGGGACGGACATGTGAATATGCATGGCTTGGCGGGGAACGTGTGTCGCCGTCTCCCTCTTTCTGTCTGGATTATTCGCCTGGAGTGGGCAATTTTGTGATTTATGAGGTCAGAGACTCGTGATAATGAGCCAGGAAATTAAATCACTTTGACCGGAAGGATGTCAGGTCAAAAGGGGATAACACAATTGATTTCATATTCATAAATTCAATGAATGTTGTCAGCTTGTCAAGGGCGGGGAAACCGGGGGCAATTGCATGCCAGTGGAAGATTCTCGGTTTGATGATTACAAAAGTTCCCGGGGGTCCATGGCTGAATATCATCTTGGCTTGACTTTGTGGAATTTCAACTATTAAGAGGATTGCAGGGTTGACAGGGGTATTTTATTGGTGTTGAAATTTAAGTTAAATATGAAATCAATGACCTCTATTAATCCTAATGGGATTGCAGGAGATCTTATCCTGAAACTCTCTTGTACAAAAATGAACATGAAAATACTATACAAATATTTGTGCTCTACGAAGTATATATATATCTCAAGTTTATCAATATGTGAAAACGGTTTTATAAGGTCGCAATCAATAGTGCGATATACTACTCAGTCGGCAAGCTTAAAAGAAAGCTTTAGTCGAGTTAGCACACCCTACAAAACTCTTTTTCATTCAAAAACCCGATTCTGTGGCATATTTTTAAGAACTTGTCGAAGCATGCAATAAACCATTTGTCAGTGGGCTCCACATGTTGCTCCCATCTTAGGGAGATTGTGAAATCAGACAGGCAAAAACACACATCGAACTTCACTTTAAATCAAAACTTTGCGCAGAGAACACCAACAATAACCCACAATTTCGTCTTCAATTATTTACAGAGTTTCAAAATCAAAATTGAGGAATACCAACTAGAGGATAAGGCTACTTAAGGATCAAAGAACACCAAGGAGAGGAGATTTTCTACCAAATCGCGAGACGAGGAGCAGGTTAATTTCGTCATTTTTGGCCAAGACAGCAAACAGAGGAACAGCAAAGCGGAAATCATTTTATACCTCACACAACAACTACACACTAACTAAGATTAGGCTACGCAACTGTACATTGTACTTAAGTGTTCAAAGGTTATTTAGGTGAGTACTTACCCAATACATGGAGGAATATCAGTGCTAAAATTAAATTCACTAAATTTAGATTAAAAAGTTAAAGCTTAATTATCTTATCTATTTGCTAAATTTCACAGCAATGCAATTAGTAGTAATTCAAAATGTTAAGTTAGTTCCCGAAAGAATTTCATAGAACAGTGTTTCATTGTTTGGCCCAAATTTCAAAATATTCAAAAACTGTTTTAAAATTTGCTACTGCATATAAATATGACTGATGATTCTCCTTTAAGTCTCTAAATAACAATAAAGCTAACCCCTTGCTTTCTTCCAGTTTACTTTGTATATAAGGAAAGTAGCTAAAAGCACGGAGACGGGGAGCACCACAGTCACTAGCCACTAAGCAGAGTCACAGTCACGATCACGTTCACTCCAGGATCAGGGCTCGCGGCGGGATCAGCGGACGCTGAGGAAGCTGCCACGATGACGATGAGTACAAACAACTGCGAGAGCATGACCTCGTACTTCACCAACTCGTACATGGGGGCGGAGATGCACCATGGCCACTACCCGGGCAACGGGGTCACCGACCTGGACGCCCAGCAGATGCACCACTACAGCCAGAACGCGAACCACCAGGGCAACATGCCCTACCCGCGCTTCCCGCCCTACGACCGCATGCCCTACTACAACGGCCAGGGGATGGACCAGCAGCAGCAGCAGCAGCACCAGGTCTATTCCCGCCCGGACAGCCCCTCCAGCCAGGTGGGCGGGGTCATGCCCCAGGCGCAGACCAACGGCCAGCTGGTGGTGCCCCAGCAGCAACAGCAGCAGCAGCAACAGCCCACGCAGAACCAGCAGCAGCAGCAGCAGGCGCAGCAGGCCCCGCAGCAGCAACTGCAGCAGCAGCTGCCGCAGGTGACGCAACAGGTGACACATCCGCAGCAGCAGCAGCAGCAGCAGCCAGTGGTCTACGCCAGTTGCAAGTTGCAGGCGGCCGTCGGCGGACTGGGCATGGTGCCCGAGGGCGGGTCGCCTCCGCTGGTGGACCAGATGTCCGGACACCACATGAACGCCCAGATGACGCTGCCCCACCACATGGGACATCCGCAGGCGCAGGTGAGTCACTCCATCTTGCAATACCACTATATTAGCTTTGACGGGCTGCTTTCGTAGAAAATTACGGGCAGTAAATGGTTGCTTTAATAGGAATATCATCATTTGGCACATTAATAATGGCACACTAATAATTACCACCCTTAGAAAGTATTTATTTACCAATTAATTAAAAATCTGCTAATGACTATTAAAACTTAAGCTAACAACGAAATGCCAAATGATAAGAAATCAGCCAGTTCACACAACCAAATAAAAAACTTGTAATTTTTGACTCGCTAAGGCACATTTTCATCTACAAAATGTCATTCAAAAAGATTTTTTTTAAAGTTTTTATATTAATTCGATGAAATTGTATACTTTTTCATAAATAATTGTGGCCTTTCTTTTACCGACCTTACATTATTAAAATTTAAAAAGCCAACGAGAAGCGCTATTATAAATTTAACCGATTCACTTTTGATGGAAACTGGTTACTAATCAATTTTTTGTAGATCTTCTAATAGTTAATGACAATTTTTTTCTTTAAATTAATTATAATATATACCCAGTTCGATACCTTATCCCACCCGCATATCTCGCCAACCACTTAACGCTTTACCCATCTTTTTCACTCTCGCTTTTGCTGCTCGCACTCGCAGTTGGGCTACACGGACGTGGGAGTTCCCGACGTGACAGAGGTAAGACAGAGTCCACTCTCCGCTTGCCACCTATTTCCATATCCGCTAGGACTAACCCCCCTCCGAGTGGTGGCCCCATCTCTCCGAAGAAAATGCATAACTAATCTTATTAATCCCCCCTCGCAGGTCCATCAGAACCACCACAACATGGGCATGTACCAGCAGCAGACGGGCGTGCCGCCGGTGGGTGCACCTCCCCAGGGAATGATGCACCAGGGCCAGGGTCCTCCGCAGATGCACCAGGGCCACCCAGGCCAACACACGCCCCCTTCCCAAAACCCGAACTCGCAGTCCTCGGGGATGCCGTCTCCACTGTATCCCTGGATGCGAAGTCAGTTTGGTAAGTGTCAAGGAAAGTGATCGACAATTCCACGAAACGTATTAAGTGGAATTTTTCTTCTTCTTATCGTAGTGGGTTGCAGTAGTTAGTCCCCGTTTAGAATTGATCGTAGTTCCCATTAGTAACGTAACTGTGCATACGACAGCAAGAGCTAATAACTTTGTTAAAATTGTATCAATAGAACTTTTACAGCGAACCTCGTATTTCTAAGCAGTGGAATGCAGTCCAAAACCACTGCTTATGGTGTTGTTTACTGCTTTCACTGCTTGATATAAGATCGAACATAAGATCAAATGTCAAGCTAAATGCAAAGCAGTGTATTTAAGCAACAGACGGTTGAAAATTTGAATTATTTTTTGAAGTTGTGAAATATTCTAACATAATGTTATGAACGAAATTCGAACAATTATGTTATTCTTTTATTTAAGCACTACTTTTTTATTATTATTTTTAATTCAAAATATTTAAAGACCTTTTTATTTTAAAGAAATCATAAAAACAACAATGAATTTAGCATTTTATTTATAATATTTTGTAGCCAAAATAATTTTTCTAAATACAACGCAATTTTATTCCTTAAATATTATGGGGAAAATGCTAAATATAGTTATTGACAACATTTTAAATGAAACTCATTTTATAATGCTAAATATAGTTTTACAGTTTTTGATTACATTTCTAAATGTACTATAAATATTGACTAAACAAAAATATTTCACAGCCAGGAATATCACTTTTAGATTAATTATTAGAAAGTGCTAATCTTAAATTTAAAGCAAAGTCAGAATTCTGCCAAACTCTATCTGCAAATGTTCCTGTGTGAGTTGGCACTCGGTTCACAACGACCTTGACACGTCCGGGTAATTTCACTTTATTGCCTTGGCCAATTGCTCGACATTAGTCGTAATCCATCTGCAAAGGCATCCCGATACCTGACATCCGTCCGAATTTGCGAATTTCCCAAATCCGAAATCGATGAATGCAGGCAGATGAAAGACGATGAAAGAGGTGGCGGAAGAGGTGCTCTTCGGGTTCCGCTTGTCCAGCAGATCCGAACACAGAAGGCGGTCCTGCCGGCTAATGCAAATCGACAATAGTCCCAGATCCTGCCAGAAAAAGGTTTGCCAAAAACCCGAGGCGTAACTAATGAGAGCTGGAAAGTGGAAAGTCTGTGTGCTCAGACTGCATGTGGTCCAGCTTGGGATTTAAAGGATGTTGCATAAGAGGGGATAGTATTCGCCTGCCTTCGACTGAAATTGGTATGGGAATCAGGAGGCGAGTCCTTTCCAAATATAGAATTCCGTTCGCATTTCACTTTTCCCCGGAGAAAGTGAGAGCCGGCCTCAAGTGGTTGGTCCTTTTCCCTCCCAGCCAGCTGACCTGCTCCTGGGTCATTACCAAATCCAAGGAGCTCTCCCCATCCGCAGCCCCATCCCTGGATGTTGTTGTGGTTTTTTGTTTGCTGCTGGCTGTATTTTTTCGCCAAAGCCAGATTGAGATGTAAAGCAGAATTGATGAGCGCCATTAGTTACACGTTATGTGCAATGGATGCCATCAATTTATTAATCTCCAGAACACGCCGAGGCTCCATTCATAGCACCACTCCGCAGTGGCCACTCCGTCGTCTTAATCCCCTCCCCCTACGCCTCTGCGGCGGTGCAAAAAGTAAGCAGAACGCGCCTTAAAAAATAAAGAGGAGGAAGGCAATGGCAACGACGATGGCAACCACCACGCCACGGTGACACGAAGTTTTCCCCTCTTTTCTCTTATTATATTTTTTTTTGTGGTTTTTGCTTCTTTTCTTTATTAAAAATGAAGCGGTCAGAGAGGACGAGGGGAGGGGGGTGTTGGAGAATTAAAGCTGGAGTTGGCCCAAAGCGCGGTCCGCATCTCCCGCGGCGGCAACTGCGGCATTCTCACTGTGCCACAACATGATCCCCGAGCTTAAGTTACGATGATTAAATGCATACGAGTTTATTTCTGCTTAGGTTTTTGCCTTGGCCCCTCCTCGCCCCTCATCACCAGCCTGCGCTGGCTGCATTTTGCATAGCCCATAAATAGTCGGGGACAGTGGGGCAAATAATCGAAAATTGCTCAAACGCCTCAGGCGAAATGGCAGAATTTGTATTGAGGGATTGGCCAGATCTGGTTTCGTCTAGAACTAAAAATATGTGCTGATCGCTTAAGATTGCTGTAAAAAAAATAATACATAATGAACTACTAATATTATATATTTCGAAAATAATTTTGCTTGACAATATCATTTTTCAATACACCCGTTCATTTAGTTTTGTAGCTTTTTAACCACATTGATTTATATATTAAATAAGTTCAACTTTATTGTAATATATTCAATTAGTTTATTCTTACATAGACTCTATAATAGAGTTGTTACACTTTGAATAGCTGCAAAATGGTGATATTACACATGTTCTATTACAGAGTTTTTATACTTTGAACCTAGCTTTATTCGAATTAAATTATTTAATTAATTATTTACTTGCCATCATAGGTTGCAATCACTCAATGCTATTTGCATATCAATGCCTTTTGCATATACAACTGTTACACATCCATTATACTGCCTTCAATATCTCGACTTGTCCACTGTAACACGATTGCAACTACTTAACGCCTGGACATATTTCAAGCGTGCATTAGGCAACAACTAAGGCGAACAAATAAAAAGATAAAGGTGCCACAAAGGTTCCGATCGTGACTGGGCAAGGCGAGAAGAGTCTTTTTTCGAAATAAAAAAATAAAAAAAGTATAGGGAAAACGAAACTCCGTTTCAATTAAGTTGTAACTCATGGATGGCAGTCGGCAACAATGGGGCTTGGAGCCCCTTTTGGCCCTTCAGTCGGTTCTCAAGCCTTAATGTTGTTTTGATATTTACCAAGTTCAACTCGATTTCCTCCCTCTTTTCCCCCTTTTATCTCGCTTCTATTTGATAATTTGCTGGTGAGAAGAGGCGGAAAAGTTGCAGTCCACGCCGAATCCTTTGGATGCTGCTGGCTCTTTTTGCCGTCCTCGAGTTTTGGGGTCATAAATTTAAGCGACAGTCAACAAATTCTTGCAACAAGTGTTTGCCTGGCCTCCTCTGTATTTATTTACACACAGAGAACAAATATTCCATAAAGTTGGGCGTTTATACAAAGAGTAAATCTACGCTGAAGTGTGATATTTTATAAATATTAAATAGTATTTATATTAAGACAGTTTTAATTATGTGTGGCATTTAATCATTCCTTTTTTTAAAGTCAGAGCTTTTATTTACTGAGGGGCTTCGTTATTTTATTACTTTAATAGGTTTGCTTCTTAATTCTTTAGCATAACTATTTCATTTACTTCCCTTCTCCCATTTTAAACTAAAATAGTGCCTTAATAGCTGGCGGTTTGGTTGCTCTTGTATAAATGCATTTTTTATTGCCGCTGTCAGAGGTGCTCATTGTGATTCACTCAAACTCCCTGGGAAATCTCTCGCTTACACAAAATGGAAATATTTATGCCAGCGGAGCCAAAGCTGAGCACTTTTCAATTCTGGCCATTGCGAGTAGGAAAGTGCACTTCATTGTGCGCATTATAAGCGACAGTTTCCACTCCTCTTCCCTCTGGAAGCTGTCAGTGGGGTTCAAGACAATGAAAAGAACTTCTCGCTGGCCAAAAAGTTGCACGTTGTCTGCTGGAAAAACTTTTGCCCTGGCTTTGGTAAAACGTTGATCCCGGCCATCATCCGTTTGGCAGTTGCCGGCGGGGAACGGGGGGAAACTTTGCCATCCTTGGACTTTGTTGTCTGTTGGCGCTGCACTTAATGTCCTGGAGAGTTTTGCTTAACTTGAGGATTTGCGCGCAAACTACTTTTCGATGGCACAAGAGCGACAGTGGGCGGTGGGTGGAAAGCAACTACTTAGGCAGACGATTGGCCCGGCTTAGATGTGTCCACCCAAAGTGAAATTGTGTTAACGTATTTTCCTCTGCCATTCCTCAGGAATTTCATACCTTGCAGGTGCTCGTGGAGTTTTGGGGTGTTTGGGTTTTTTTTAATACACACTTATTTTTCAAATCGGTAATTATTGCAAAATTGCCTCGTCTTTAGTTGGCTTCCAAATTTCCAGATACAATTTAGGAGTTTTCTTTGACACCAATATATTTAAGTTTTTTTTATTTATGAATTTTGTTACTTATTTATATATTGCTGATCAAAATAATCCACCAAACAAACACAAAGATCTTGTGGACTAAGAGTTTTCATCAAAGAAATTTTATTCGCTAATATGACTTCATTTTCATTAGGCAAATATATTTTACCAGGTATTTTATAGTTCAAATCACTCGACCATAGCTTTTTTTCTGATTTCTTTTGCTGCTGGCAATTTAAGCGGGCGGATCAAAAGATAATTTGCGAAATGCGTGAAGATTTTTTCTAAATATATACACATATATATGTATAGGAAAACTCACCCCTCTGACAGGGTCTGTCAAAAAATTTGAGCAACGTGAAGAACAAAAAATGACACAGGAACTTTGGGGATTTCCAACCCACAAACACAAACACACATTCTGTGGTGTTGGGTGGAAAAGTTTAATAAAGCGCAGCAAATGCGAAGAGGAAATTTCGCTTTTATTTCGGTTGCCCCGCCCCCTTTCTCCACGCCCCCGCTCCTGTTTTTGTGGCCAGCTGAGGAGCGCAGAGTAATGGCAACAGCTCGCCAAAGGTCCTTGGGGCCCCGGCAGTCGGAGATGGGTCAGTTCTGGACATGGGAGAGGCGTTCGGGGGCCTTGTGGCTCAATCGCAGCTCTGTTTTCGGATTCCATTTTTTTCCTCATCTTCTGTTTGGGCCGCTGCTGTTTTTGTATTTTGGGATTTGGCCAACCTTTTGACAAATTACGAATATTATTCATGCAGCAATGAAGTGAGGAAGCTCCCGTCGTCCCCCTCCAAACTTTTGGGCCTCCTGCGGTCCGCGTTTCGGCATTTGGGATTCCTTAAAAAATGTATCTGATGGCAAGAT